AAAAAAAAAAAAAAAAAAAAAAGAAATTTGAAGCATTTTGTTTGGTACCTTTTTCAGTCTTAAATCCTGTTTAGTAAGAATAAATTGTCCCTTTAAATCCCATTTTAAAATGCAAAATCTTTAAAATGTTTACAGATATAATTAATATATCTTATCTCCATGAGATTGTTTAAATCAACATAAATCCCATAAAGATAATGGGATTTATAGTATATTTTGATATAAGAATCCCAATCCTGATAAGGGTAGCGTTTTCAAGACTAAAGTCACATCTGATGAAATAAAAACAAATTCTAATCGTTTGCAGGTCTTGTGAAATGGCAATTAGAGTAAACCATTTTTATCTACTTTGTTACATAAAATACAAATTATAGATAGAAAGGCTGATAATAGTAAAAGAGATTTGACTGACTTGACTTATTACTATATTTATGTTTAATTGACTTTGCTTTTAATTCATTATTCTGTATAGCAAGTCACTGCAAGAGTTAAACAGAGAAATGCTGGCAAGAGTTCTTTAAATCGTTCTAATGAAATAGAATTTCTTTTTCAGTGAAAATTACGATTTTCTTTTTTTCCAGAAAATGCTTCTCATTGTTCTTACATTATTTCCTTTTGATAATTGGATATTATTGAATTTCCATGGATTAAAAATGTTTTACTTGATTGATATTTTTTTTACTGTGCCAATAAAAGCACACATCTCCTCAGCGAAACAAGAAAACTGATTCTTTTCTTTTGCTTCAGAGAATGTGTTTTCCTGAGTGTGATTCTCATTTGACCTTCCTTGACCTCCCACCTTTTTATACTTCCATTCAGCACACTTGGTTATGCCCCAGCAGGCTTATCGTGGCTAAGTTCAGTTTTACAGCTGAAGAAAAGTCAGAGCTACCAAGGGGTGGAATGTGGGCTGGGGCCCAAGGACTAGGAATCTCAATTCAGCAATCCTTGTACTCTGTTACAGTGTGATCTTGTCTCCCAACTTACGTAACCTACATGACTGACTATTCTGAGGGTGAATTCTAGTTACTTTTCTAATTTTGGGTACAATTATAATATGTTACTAAATATATTTACCTAAATATATTAACTGAGATTTTTAAATTCTCATATGTTCCTGCTTCCCCTGAATCCTACAGAATTCCAAGAATAGTATGTGACATACTTTTTCAAACACTATCCCTAATGACCTGGTTTCATCCTTTTCTTGGCATTCACCCAAACACAGCTGCTCATCAAGAAAAGACTCAGAGAATTTTTAGAATCATTCTCCAGCAGATTTCACTATATTGGGAAATTAGAATCATCTAAGGGGACTAATAAAGTCAGCTCTAAGAATAATTTAAATGAATGAAATTTGGCTGTTATTTAATATTTTAACAAGTGGGAGGTTAGTCTTCCTAATTAATAAAGACTTGAGATCAGACTATGTCATGGCAAATAAATATAATACAGTTTAGCATCTGTCTGTCTCTATCTGTCTATCTTTCTACCTGTCTGTCTATCTGTCTATCTATCTATCTATCCATCCATCCATCCATCCATCCTCTGGGCCTCCTTCAACTTCTGAGATGCTCTGATTACAGCATTTGACTTTGTCATAGTTGTTTATAGCTTTGGCCCTTCCATACAAGTTTTTTGAGGCCATATTATGCTTATTCATGACTACATCTTTTAAAGTGTCTTATAGTGTGTGCGAGTGAGGCTTATCAGCAAGCACTTGTTGAATGAACAGCCTAAAACCTCAGTCATCATTCAATACATGGAATCAGACATATTTAGATCAGCCAGACATAGAACTGTGTACGTAGTTTCCCTAAATTACTATGTTTCTCATGTCACTACCCTGCATAAGAATCACATAAGAATCTTGGAAACAACTGAACTGACTAGTACAGACTTGCAAATAAATTAAGGTAGGAGTGTCAGAGAAGACTAATATCACAAAATAACAACATTTTTTCAGATTGTCATAGACCCAGAAAAAAATGACTCATTTTATTTAACCCACCTTTGCAAATCTTCTCATTAAGTGAGATAATGCTTCAGGATTAGGGCATTCCAGTTTCTTAATAATCTCAAAGCTCTGATTTAGCTGAGCAAAGACATCAACCACTGAGCAAGAAAAGAGAGCATGATCGGATGTCTGCTGGAACTGTGGGGAGAGGAGGTGAAACCAGCCCAAACAGTACATTAGAGGGGCAATGGAAACATTCTCATTGTTTTCCACAACAACTGAATCTCCCATATCCAATATCAACATTTCCCAGTAATAAAATGCTTACCCACTTTAAAATCATTAATCTCCTTTTCTAGAAAGTGTAGTGGAACTAATATGATGGGGCAAGCTGCTGCTAATTGGTCTTTCCACCGCTGAATTCAGGAACTGGTTCTTTTGTATTTCACTTTCCCCACAGGCAATAGGTTAGCTTAGCAAGCTGGTTGTAACTCAAGATTTTGGGAGTTGCTGCAGAGGGACTGGGAGAGTGTCTGCTCCTAATCTGGAAATCCTGGAAAAGTTCCAGGACAACAAAGATGTTTTGTACAAGCTTATGGAACCTGTAGATTCAGATTAATGTAAGAATTAAAGAAAACCTTGGGGGAAATGGGTGACTGGATTTTTTCTTAAATAAATTTAAGCAAGTTTCTAGTTTTCTGACCAGACCACAGCAATTGTATTTTAAATTAATTTTGGTCATTGGGAAATGGAAACAATTAATAACAATGACTCTGATGATTCCCATTAGGTTAAAAGCAAACGATGTGACTGAATCATGACAATGAACATTCTTAATTTAAACTCACTCCATCTTTTTTGTCTCTTCCCAGTGCTCCATGAAGGAATTCCATTGACACATCTTCATTTTCGTCTAGCCACTGCATGACAAAAGGCTCAAACCACCTGTAAAAAATTAAAAATATTACATACCACAAAGGACATCATTCACATGCAATTAACAGGAATTATGCTCTTTTTGCATAGGAGAGTAATTCAGAATCAACAATCTCCTTTCATTCTCTCTTGCAGTTTTGCTTCCTTAGAGACCTTTACCTGTTCTCCATCAAATCACTCCCCTTCTCTGTACCTCCAACCTCTCCCTCCTTCTTGGTTCTTCTCATGCCACCTCAATTATGCTTAATTCCCAATAGTTACTCTGTAATTCCCTTCAAAATTCAAACTCCTGTAAAATGTAGACCTTGTGTGCTCTCTTCCCTATCAACCCATTTCCTCATTTCTTAATTCTTTGCCATGGAGCTTCTACTCATTCCCACTAATCTGTAACTGATCCTGGGTGCTTACCTTGGACTTCATAGTTATGATTTATAATCCATGGACAATTGGTTTTTGCAAATGATTTAAGATAATTTTTTTCTCCTTTCTGAGCATCCATTCCTTTTTCTGTATGTATGCCCAGATGATCGAGCACCATTTACTTAGAATACCATTTATTCCCCACTGCATTTGCATCTCTGATGCAAATTAGGTCATGCCATACGTGTGAATTTGGTCTCTGAACTATTTTGTTCCCTTGGTTCATTTGTTATGCACTAATATAGTTTGGATCTGTGTCCCCACCAAATCTCATGTCAAACTGTAGTCCTCAATGTTGGAGATGCGGCCTGGGAGGAGGTGGTTTGACCATGCAGGTGGATTTTTCATGAATAGTTTAGAACCATCCCCTTGGTGTTGTTGAGATTGAGATAGTATGTGAGTTCTTATGACATCTGGTTGTTTAAAAGTGTGCAGCACCTCCTGCCTCACTTTCTGTTATTCCTGCTCCCACTATGTGAGATGCCCCGCTCCCCCTTTGCCTTCTGCCACGACTGAAAGCCTCCTGGGGACTTCCCGGAAGCAGAAGCCACTAAGTTTCTTGTACAGCCTGCAGAACTGTGAGCCAATTAAATCTACTTCTTTTTTTTTTAACCTAGACTCATGTATTTCTTTAGAGCAGTGTGAGAACAGACAGAGAAATACATTAACATGACACTATCTTAACAACATTCTTATAAGATAATTGATAATGTAGTTCTCCAGTTTGTAGATTGCCTTTGAATTTTTAATCACTTTGCATTTCTACATGCATTTCCTGTCAATTTGCACAAAAATATCTTTTGGAATTTACACAGGGTTTCATTGAAACTGTAGGTCCATGTAAGGAGAATGACTATCTTTATAATAATGCATTTTTAAGGAATGTTACATATTTAATTTAGTTTATCTTAAATTTCTCTCATAGCATTTTATAGTTGCTTGAAAAGATGGCTTGTACACCATTCATCACATTTATTTCTGGTGGTTTTAATGTTATTTAAATAGTATAGTTTATATAAAATCTAGTTGTTTGTGGCTATAACACAGAAATTTAATAAAGTTTTAAATAGACCACATCTACTTTTAAAATTCAATTTCAAACAAGTTATGAATTTTCATCTACTTCCAGTTTTAGCAGCATTCTACAAAATTGGATATGCCATATTTTATTAGCAAAATAATTCAAAATATTTTTTAATTTTTACCATGATTTCTTTTTTTCACTTGTGTGTATTTAGAATATCCTTCTGAATTTCTGTATTTAGTTATGTAATTATATTCTTGGATTTGATTTGTTTCTCAATTCCACAGTGGTAAAGAATATATAATACATCATTTCCCTACTTAAAATGTATTAGTTTTGTTTTACAGCTCAGGAGACAGTCTATTTTGGTAAATGTACCATGTGTACCTAATAACAATATGTATTTTATCATTTTTGTTTATAAATGTTATATCAGTGTTATTGTGTGTAAGCATTGTCAATGAAAAATTGTGGAACCTCTGGGCGGTCAGATATAGATATAGAAATGTAGATACCTGTATAGATAGATAGATAGGTATGATTTATTCATATTGTTCAATCTCCTTTGTTCTTATTACTTTTTGGGATCTGAATTTTCAGTTCATTGCTGAAGAAGCATAATCTCCAATAGTCATTTAGTTCTGCTGTCTGGTAGCTTTCAATTTTTTGATGAATGTTACATATTGCCCATGAAAAGCTGTGGACCTTTGATCTATACAATGATGGGTTTTAGGTTGGTCTATTTCCAGTTTGCCATTATTTTTAGGGTAGAGACTTTCAAAGATCTCACCCGAAAGCCTGGAGTATTTATAACATTCCTTCTCATTTTTTTTTTACACAATGTATGATTCCATTTATATAAAGTATAAAAATCTATAAAACTATGCATCAGATGGTGGTTTCTGCTGAAACAAAAGGAGAGGTTGTTACTGTAAGTAGGCACAAGGGGGATCAGTCTTGACCTCTAACATTTGTCCCTTCAGCACTATGAGACTGCTAAAGTCTCTACTTAGCTCCAAATCTCTTAGTGGCCACTTTCTACTTGATTTTTTCTGCCTCAATCTCAACACATAGGCAAATTAGGCATCAGAAAATGCCTCTGTGGGAACTGCCTGTAGAATGTTTTGCTCATATCTCTGTAGTTTCCTTTTCTCTGGGATCTTGGTCTCACAAACCCAAGCAGTCTTCATAGCTCCATCACTCATCCTGTTTCTCCAGTCCAGGGAGACAGCTGTAAACTGTGCTATTGTTGGCTGTTTGCTCTGCAACCCCTGTATCGCAAACTGGCAGATGTATGGAGGTGAAGAAGATGGGAGAGAAGATATGACAAAATATAGGACTCACCTTAGTGCATTTCTCTTTTCTCAGGTATCTTAGATTCTCAAGTCCTGGTTGCCTTTGTTGTCTTTCTGATGCTGTTTAATTTTATTTAGCTTTTTAAGTTGGCCATCAGAGAACATATTAGTCTGATTTTAGTTTAGTGTAGGGTGTCTAGACAAAGCCCACAGCAGAAGTGTCTGGCAAATAGCTCCTGTGTTTTATTTCCCTATTCCTGACCAATGACTCTACCAACAACTTAGGCATACAGACTTCATGTTTAACTCTTTCCTCTTTCTTATTTTTTAAACTTTTTCATTTCAATAGGTTTTGAGGGGAATATATGGTATTTGGTTACATGAATAAGTTCTTTAGTGGTTATTTCTGAGATTTTGGTGCACCCATCATCCAAGCAGTGTGTACTGTACCCAGTGTGCAGTCTTTCATCCCTCACTTTGCTCCCTCCATTTCCCCCAAGTCCATTGTATAATTCTTATGCCTTTGCATACTCCCATCTCAGCTCTTATTTACGAGTGAAAATATATAATGTTTGGTTTTCCATTCCTGAGTTACTTCATTCACAATAATGGTCTCCAATTACATCCAAGTTGCTATGAATGTCATTATTTCATTCCTTTTTATGGCTGAATAGTATTTCATAGTGTGTGTGTGTGTCTGTGTGTGTGTGTTTGTGTATGTGTATATTCATAAATATTATTTATATATATACACTACTCATATATATATGCATATATATTTATATATGTAAATATATATCTATATAGATATCTTTATCCACTCATTGATTGATATGTATTGGCTGGTTCCATATTTTTGAAATTGTGAATTGTGCTGCTATAAACAAGCATGTGCAAAGATCTTATTTATATGATGACTTATTTCCCTCTGGGTAGATACTCAAAAGTGGGATTGCTGTATTAAATGGTAGATCTACTTTTAGTTCTTTAAGGAATTTTCACTTTTCCTCATTCTTTTAACCCCATATATCTTTAGTTGACAAATTCTGTAAATTCTCTCTTCAAAATTTCTCTCCCATGTCTTTAACCTTTGCATACTTACTGCAATCACTCTATATTATCAGTATAGCCTTTATTCAACATAATGACTGCAATTTTATTGTATTTATTTTAATTATGTTTTATTTGAAAAAAAGAAATTGTATGTATTTACCAAGTTTAACATATTGTTTTAAAATATATACACATCATGGAGTGACTAAATTGAAATAATTAACAAATGCATTACTTCATATACTCATTTTTATGGTGTGAACATGTAAAATATGTTCTCTTTGCAACATTACAGAATATAAACAGCATGGTACTGGTACCAAAACAGACATATAGACCAACTGAACTGAAAAGAGGCCTCAGAAATAACACCACACATCTACAACCATTTGATCTTCGACAAACCTGACAAAAATAAGCAATGGGGAAAGGACTCCCTATTTAATAAATGGTGCTGGGAAAACTGGCTAGCCATATGCAGAAAACTGACACTGGACCCGTTCCTTACACTTTATACAAAAATTAACTTTAAATGGATTAAAGACTTAAATGTAAGACCTAAAACCATAAAACCCTTAGAATAAACCTAGATAATACCATTCACGACATAGGTATGGGCAAAGACTTTATGACTAAAATACCAAAAGCAATGGCAACAAAAGCCAGAATAGACAAATGGGATCTAATTAAGCTAAAGAGCTCTGCACAGCAAAAGAAACTATCATCAGAGTGAACTGGCAACCTACAGAATGGGAGAAAATTTTTTGTAATCTATCCATCTGACAAAGGACTAATATCCAGAATCTACAAAGAACTTAAACAAACTTACAAGAAAAAAACAAACAACCCCATCAAAAAGTGGGCAAAGTATATGAACAGACTCTTCTCAAAAGAAGACATTTATGGGCTTTGTGCGGTGGCTCACACCTGTAATCCCAGCACTTTGGGAGGCTGAGGAGGGTGGTTCATGAGGTCAAGTGATCAAGACCATCCTGATCAACATGGTGAAACTCCACCTCTATTAAAAATACAAAAATAAGCTGGGCGTGGTGGCTCATGCCTGTAGTCCCATCTACTCAGGAGGCTGAGGCAGAAGAATCCCCTGAACCAGCGAGTCGGAGGCTGCAGTGAGCCAAGACTTCGCCAGTGCACTCCAGCCCAAAAATATAGTGAGACTCTATCTCAGAAAAGAGACAGAGAGAGAGAGAAAAAAGATATTTATGTGGCCAACAAACTCATGAAGAAAGGTCATCATCATTGGTCATTAGAGAAATGCAAATCAAAACCACAATGAGATACCATCTCACAGCAGTCAGAATGGTGATCACATAAAAAAGTCAGGGGAGAGATGCCAGATGTAGGTGATGGGGAGGAAGGCAGCAAATCACACTGCCACGTGTGTACCTATGCAACAATCTTGTATGTTCTTCACATGTACCCCAAAACCTAAACTGGAATAAAATAAATAAATGGGGGAAAAAAAAGTCAGGAAACAACAGATGCTGGAGACGATGTGGAGAAACAGAAACACTTCTATATTGTTGGTGGGAGTGTAAATTAGTTTGACCATTGTGAAAGACACTGTGGTAATTCCTCAAGGAGCTAGAACCAGAAATACCATTCGACCCAGCAATCCCATTACTGGGTATATACCCAAAGGATTATATATCATTCTACTATAAAGACGCATGCACATGCTTGTTTACTGCAGCACTGTTCACAATAGCAAAGACTTGGAACTAACCCAAATGCCCAACAATAATAGAGTGCATAAAGAAAATGTGGTACATATACACCATGGAATACTACGCAGCCACAAAGAGGAAGAGTTCATGTTCTTTGCAGGGACATGGATGAAGCTGGAAACCATCATTCTCAGCAAACTAACACAAGAAAAGGAAACCAAACACTGCATGTTCTCACTCATAAGTGAGAGCTGAACAATGAGAACACATGGACACAGGGAAGGGAACATCACACATTGGTGCTTGTCAGGGGGTGGGGGACTAGGGGAGGGATAGCATTAGGAGAAATATCTAATGTAGATGATGGGTTGATGGGTGCAGCAAACCACCATGGCACGTGTATACCTTCGTTACAAACCTGCACATTCTGCACCTGTATCCCACAACTTAAAGTATAATAAAACTGAAAAATACACTAATTATAGTGACCCTATGTGTATTAGATGTCTTGAACTTATTCCTCCTACTTAGCTAAAATGTTGTATCCTCTGACCAAAATCTCCCCAACACCCTATATCTAGTAGTAAAGCATTTTTAAGTTATCCCGCTATCCCATTACTTCTTATATACTTTGTATGAGAAAAGTTGTATTAAAGGGCTATTCTAATCTCATCACTGAATCACTCATTACCTTCTAAATCTCCTCTCTGCCCTCCATTCCTTGCCTCTTCCAACTGCTACAAAGCCTAATGAATGTGGTACAAGATTCACAACATAGAAATCTACCTCAAAACCACCTTTCCTACATTATATTTTAAAACATTACTTTCTACTAATGTTATACAAATAAAAATATGCCTCACCTCCTATGGATGATAGCTCGTTTGTTCTTCCCTTCATAATTATGCTCATAACTTTCATTATCATCATAATGCTTTTTCTCCCTCTTCTTTCTGTAACCTGGTCTCCACAAATATTGTGTGGAGTTCCCAAAACAGCAGTAAATTCTCTCTTCTGTGAAAACCTATTGCACTTTGCTTATGCTCCTGAAATTAGCACGTATTTCATTTTGCCTTGCTTTATCATGATCTTTGAGCTTATCGGTGTCTCGCAGAACATAAGTTCCTTTCTGGGTAGGATCTTGATCTTATTTTCTATTGCTCTACAGCACTTGCCACAGTGTTTGACATAGAGAAGATCCCCTTCAATAGAATAAAATGGAATTCTAATACATTTCAAATGCATAGTATTACATGTGTTCTTGTGTGATTATAAATGTGTTTGAAAAAGGGATATTTATGGAAAAGTTCCCTGTTAAGCAACTATTTCTACTTTAGAAATACGAATTCCTAAGAGAGTTGAAAGTCTGAATAAAAAAAGAAAATGTGATTAAATAGGTCAATATACAAGCACCAAACTTTCCCCCCAAAATCTGTGTAGTGGCACTTTTACAGAAAATCATTCATTTTATCACTTGAGTCATGTCTTATTATGTATTTGTTTGTCTTTGAGTCGAATATAATATCCAGGTAAGGGATGCTTGAAATATGCAACACAATTCAATTAAATATGGTTCCCAAAAACATGCAAATCCTTTAATGTTAGCTTTATAACACAAATTTATTCATTCCAATGAAGATTATGTGAAGAGGTTTTAGTGCTGCACAATTCAGGTGTAACTTTACAGGACTGTGAATTTAGATCTGAGGGTATGTGTGTGTAAAAATCACTACTTACAAGGAGTATTCAGGAACAGCATCCTTGAAGGCAGGAAGTTCACGTACATATTCATTATAAAACCATTTCACTTTGAAATGCAAATTCATATAATCGGTGCTCTTGCATAACCGCTGCTTTTCATGTTCTATAACAGATAAGATCAAATATTTAATAAAGCTTGGTTTGCCAACAATGCTGCTATGTTGCAATCTATTTTTATTAATAGAATTTCTAAAAGGAAGAAAATAGTACATTAAAGGTAAAGGTATAATGAATTGCTAGAAGCAGACCTAAAATTTTACAAAATGCAGAAATAACTATAGGTCTCGCATAGAATAGGTCAAGCAAAATAATTTCAATGTTCTAATGTGTCTTACTGAAAAATGTGAAAAGTCATATGTAGTTATAGAGTAATAACATGCTAAAATGTATCTATTTGCAAATTTTAATATTTTCACTGCTTTTAGCTTGATGCAAAGCGATAGAGAGAATTAAAATTCTAAGCATGCATAAAACATGAGTCAGAAGCCATAATCATTGATTAATTAATATTGGAGATATGAAGTGACTAGATCACATTTCTGGCCTAGTTATTTACCACTTAAAGAATTAAAATAGTTGAAAGGGAGAGAAAATATCTCTCACTTATGAGTCACATGATTTCTTCTTCATTCTGTAGCTTTACCTAAAATGATCTTGCACCCTTAGCTTTTTTGATTCATTTTTAGCAGGATTTTCTAATATGTGGCATTTCTTTTTTCTCTGTTGCTCAAAAAATATAGCTTAACACTGTTGTTGAACTTTTGTGACGTGGATATACAGTGCTGGAGAATAGAGACAAATAATCATGTTACTGAGCATGTTTTTCTCTGCTGTTTTTCCCTCCTTAATAATATTTGGCCAATTTTGGCTACAACTATAAACATAACCAAACCCACAATGTACCTAACTATATCTAGGTTGAACGTGCTCTCTGAGAAGCTCTGTTTGAGGTCTGTGAGTCTTCTAAGAGCATTGATTTATAGTAGAAACTTCCTATACTTTACATTCCAAGCTAAATTCTTAAAACACTATTTGAAGCAATTAGATTGTTACAAACAAATTAAAGGCATCCCTGCTTTCAAAACCTGAATATAGATGGACTGAAATCCCCATAGTGAACATAAGAGAGAACTCAACCCCAAATCACACATTTTCAAATTATTTGAACAATGAGAAATTCAAGACAAGTTGTAGAACAGAGAAGACAGAAATAGAGAGAGAGGAAGAGAGTGAGGGAGAGAGGCAAGGAGGGAGGAAGGGAGGGAGGAGAACGTAAAGACATACACTCACATAGAAACAAGTAATAATAAACTAACACTTCTAGGCCAAACTCCCAAACAAAATTTTAGTCAAGATGACACTTTGCTTTAGCTCCCTCCAAGTTCATTTCACTCTTTTCACCATTCAGTGTAAGCCCTCCTCTAATCTCTCTCTTCAGATGTCTAGTTTTCCTGTGCTCTTTAAGAGAAAACATTTACTTGATAAACTCAGGTAGAAATTTAACACAATACTACCCTGAAACCCAGACAAATAGAGACCTTTGCTCTGGGACTGATGAATTTAGAAGATTCAACTTATCACAAATATAGATTTATCATTTAATAGCTCTCGGGCTCCTCCTTCACTTGGAATCTTATGCTTGCTGCTGGCACAGAACAAGCCAGAATACTAAACATTTCCTCTGGTGAGTAACACCACCTGCTCACATGATTAACACCCTCTAAGCCCCAGAGAAACATTTTGGACCATCTTTCCTCCTGTGTCCTAAAAACAAAAGGTGACAGTGTCCAAACGCTACCAAAGTTTGCCCAGGTTGTACCATTGCTGACAACAGAAAGCTACTGCTTTGGAGTGTGGGGAGAAATTTGTGCTCTGGAAACACTTAGGTAAAATAAGGGGCAAACTAACTTGCCAAAATCTTCCTTTGGATAGCAGAAATGCAGTAGATTATTGCACAATAAAGCATTATTAACAAGCACCCACTTTCTTACTTTTCTTTGGTTCCACTGTATGCTTCTGAAGATACTCATAAATCACTGCAATACCATTAATCAAAACAGGTGCACATAATGGCCAGGAACTTAAGTTTGTATGTGTAAATTTCTATGTTAATATACATGAAGCCTAATACTACTTCTTTGCCAACTAGATGGTCATTTAATGTTAAAATTGTTAATAGTTTTCTATTTTTAATATCTAGATATATGAGGTTTAACAAAATTTTAGCTGTATTCAAATGATTTTAACTTATAAATGTATATCAAATATTCATAATTTGTATTTTGTTTTCATATGATTAAATATTTTGAGTACTTTAGAAAAAATTTCTGAAAACTATATATAAACTGCATATGAGAACATGTATAGAAATAATTTTAATTTTTGTATTTGAAAGCTTAAATTTCATTTTTGTATAAACTATAGACTTGAATGCATGTTTTGAATACAGTAGCCTTTTCATTTGTAATCCTTCAAATATTAACAAGATGTGTAAACTATGATTGGGTACAAAAACAAAATACATATGTAAAGTTCAGAAAAAGTAAAGGCTGAAAAGAAAAAAGGAGAAAACATTTCAAAGTGAAGGTGTGCCTAAATTTTCAAAACAGAAAATAATGAGATCAAGCAGATATCACAGGACTAGGAAAGGTATCGTTTCGTTTGGACCACAATAAGCTAAATAGATTTGAAAATTTTTATTATAAGTACATATTTAGCAATTTTGCTAAAATAAAGGCGAGAAAGTATATTTTCTGGTATGCATATATTTATTTAAAACCAAAAATATTACCAATCTAAGCATAATACTCAAATATGCATATTGATAATTACATTTTAACTTTTCAATTTTTCTAGCTTTTGGTATCTTAAAATACACCAATATTGTGTACAGTTTTTATCATGTTGATATAAAGGATTTTTTTTTTTGGTAGGAAGT